GAGTTGTTGAACCACAAATTCCTCCCACTTAGTAGAAACGACAGAAGGAGTCAAATCTTGCTTAGGAGCCGACTTTTCACTCAAAGTACGAGGACTCACAGTCAGATCCTTACCAGGAGGCTTCAGAGAATCATTGTAGCGAGGGTTCAACGAAAAATTATGAGCAGCGAGATATGACCAGATTAAACAAGGATAAGGTAAAGAACGACGAGACTCAATATTGGCAATGAAGGGCTGAAGAATCTCAAACACAACCTCCCCAAAATTAAAGGGCTGACCCACCATCACCCAATAGATAACCTTGCTTTGCAATTCAGTGAGCAAAGTTTTGTTGGACGTGGGGGTCCAATTCCCTGCGCCCACTTTATGGAGAAGATTAGCAACAAGGCACAAAGAATTAACGGGAAGGTTTGACCCAGGCCAGGTATCAAGCTGATTGGCAGTAAGAACCTGGGTCACTACATCAAGATCAACTGCCGGCAAAGAGGGAATATCAGAGGGGACACCCAAATGAGCATTTATCAAGGCAGGAGAAAAATCGATAATACGATTACGCAAAAAGAGTTTATGAAAGCGGGGGCTAGCAGGTTCAAACACAGCAGGGGTAAGATTAGCAAAGAACTCACAAACAGCCTGGTCACAGAAGGAACTTAAGTCCACAACAGTTTTAGATAACCCAACAGAATCAATCAGAGGAAGGACTCCAAGTTCAACAAATTTCGCATCCTTAAGAGGATGTTCACTCCAAAACCCATAAGATCTAAAACGCTCAAACCTGTCATGAGAGGCCTCGGTGTAGAACCGGTTAGTAAAGGCATTTTCAAGATCATAGGCATCATCCTCAGGCTCCGGTGGAACAAAGCTTTCATCAATTGGTTCTTTGCCTCTGCGTCTGGTGGAACAACGCACCGGAACTCTAGGTGGAGGAGTGGGCTGGTCGGAGTGGACCTCAACAGTAGTCGCAGCAGTGTCATCCCTTTCTGCTTCAGCGGTTCTGGTAGTGGACTTAGATCCAGTCTTCGTTGCAGATTTGCTCGCAGACGTTGGTACAACAGATGACTCCCCCTGAGTTGGAGCCGCTGGAGTCTCAACAAACCCTGACAGACCAGGTACGCCGGTGGCGAGAGGAGAGATCTCAAGATTTTGCTCAGCATTGTTGGAGTTGGATGGAGAACCAGACGAGGTTGCAGACAAGGAAACAAACTTCTCATGTGGTGGTGACTCGGGAGATGTAGATTTCACCGGCGGAGGAGAGGGTTCACGGACAGAACTTGCAGAGAGAGAGAGAGACGACGCCGCTTCAGCCGCTTCTCCTTGTGTTTCTTAAGACGCTTCTTCGACTTGTCCTTGCTACCAGCCATGGGAGAAGGAACGGCGATTGAGTTTTTTTTTTGAAAAAAAAAAGGTTTCAGTTGGAAAAGAGGGAAGAAAGAAGAAGATAAGTTCAGACGAAAAAGGTATGATTGAAACTTGGAGAAACGTGAGAGATATAAAGAGTTCTGACATAGATAACTGCAAAAGGTGGTTTTCCGACATTCAAGGTGAGGAGAGAGAAAGAGAATTGCAACTTGAGGCGGTTTTATGGCAAGAAACTGATCCCTCCAAATCCTAATTCAAACACAATACAACCTCTCACACAAATAACTTCTCACATTATTTCGATTTTTAGGAAAGAAATCAGATTTCATACGTGAGCACAAATTCTTCACAAAATTTTAACACGACCTTTACGCGTTTGGCAATTTAATCATGACTTTCAGACTTTGTCAGAAAAATACATGACCTTTACATTTTTGGCAAAATGGTA